CTCATTTAATAGTTCTTAGAAATCCTCGCTGTTTGGTTGTGTAAGGCCATATTTAGGATTTCTGTGAAGGAAATCTTTACTAGGGTAACCACATATGTCTCCAAGTCATTATAAATTTCACCATAGATACCCTTCCCAAATTATACTAATTAAAAAATGACCAAGGACCCAATCTGGAGAAAATTGGCCAGCTTGGCTATTTATTAACAAATAACCAAAATAACATTCCTTAAAACAGAAACCATACTCATAAACCAGTAGCCATAACGTACAGGTTGCCGGTGTTGGGAGTCACTTGAGAACCAACATCAGGTTGTGTATTTGCGTTACTACTTAACCACTTGCCCTCCTGAGGATTTACCCCCCTTCATGATCAAGACATTTTTTGCGTTACAGCGCTGCGTCACTAACTGACAATTGCGTGGTCATGCAACCGTGCACCCAAATGAAATTACAAGGATTTATGATCCTCCATTGAAGAGTCCCTCTGACTGTTCATCATGGGAGATGGCTTTTGAACAAAACTGGGAACACTTTTTTTTGTTCAGCGCACTGATTAATTGAATGAAAAAAAATTAACAAATTGCTGCATCCACACAAGCAAGGTGAATGCAGGAATCCTTCCCACTGTGCTATTGTATTCTGACGACAAGACTCCTCCACTGTCAGAATGCACCGATTTGCAGCCAAGTGGCTGCAAGCCACCGAAGTTTCCAACAGGACTGTCGACCAAAGCCAGTCTAACTAATAGCTACTGTTGAACTGCTACACACAGATTGAAATTCGGCGTGTACAGCAGGGATTTTCAATACGTGTACCCAGCTTACTCAAAGACTTCAGTTTAATCTGTTGTGTGTTTTTTTAGAGGGCCTAACAAGTTTCTGGCGCAATAGAAAGTAATAGTGAAATAACAGAGGTTTCAGTGCCTCTGTTGAGAATTTAAAGGACAGTTGCCCCACAATGCCTATAGCTACAGAGGTGTTTGATACTTTGTTTTAAAGGACTTTTCCTGCTTGTTCAGAATATGTAAATACTATAGTGCTCATAGTCTGGAGGTTCACATAAATACTAGGGGTTCTTGAGGGTTAAGTATGCAGAATGTTTTTCTCAAAAGTGAACCTGTGCTTTGCCTCATGCAAACCAGAATTTATACAAAATCCCGGCTATTCCAGGTATGGATGGGCTTGTAAAACACGCCATATGACAAGGCTCGGCCAATCATCAAGCACCAGTACTGTCACCTTACTGTTACGACTTGCTTGTCCTGTAGCTTACAGAGGGAGGCTTCTCCTATTCCTCCGAGTCTAATGGAACATTAAAAAATAAAGGAGAGGGAAAACATAACCTGATGTTAACAGCAGATAAAATTAACCTGTTGCTCTTCCCTTCATGGGCAAACCACATATTCACTTTAAAGTGGAGCTCCACTCAAAAGGGGAAGTTTTGCTTTAAAGACTGGTCCCCTGCACCCCATTAAGGATTGGCACATTTGGGGAGTGCCAAAATTGACAGGTACCCGCTCCCACTTCTGCTGCCATTGCCTAGGCGATTGGAAGTAGACGTTGTCCTCCCCTCCCTCCCTGTAGTCTTCTGGGACACGTGACAGGTCCCAGACGACAGAACCATTCCGAATGCGCAGCTCTACTCGCACATGCGCAGTTGGCAACCGGCTGTGAAGCCGCAAACTGTCACAGCCGGTGGCCCACACTGAAGATGTCGGCGCCAGGAACACCAGACAGCCAGTGAAACAGGCTGCAGGGAGAACACTGCGAGATTAAGGGACAGGTGAGTGGCTGTTTATTAAAGTCAGCAGCTACAGTTTTTGTAGCTGCTGACTTTTATTTTTTAGAGTATGACTGGAACTCTGCTCTAAGCAACAGATAATGGAGCTCCTTTCAGTGCATTTGCTTGTATAGAATGTGCAAATATGCGCCTTTTTTATCTGCAAGTGGATAACACTATAAATACATTTTGAAAATGGAAAAACAAATCTAATTATACAAAGTAGTTTAAATAAAAAACAAATTCTTAGTAAGATAAATGAAGAAGAAAGATGTATTACAGTGATTTTGTTTTTAATTAAAATAATAAACCTGCCATACTTAGCTGCTCTGTGCAATGATTTTGCACAGAGCAGCCCCGTACCTCCTCTTCATGTGTTCCCCACCGGTGCTCCTGGCTCCTTCTCTTCATCTAGTGACCCCATAGGAAACAGCTTCCTATGGGGGGGGGGGGGGGGGAGACACTCATGCCAGCTCACTCCTAAGCCCTGCTGCCTGCTTCCACAGACACATAGGGGTTAATTTACTAAGGCAAATATACTGTGCACTGCAAGTTCAGTTGCACCAGAGCATAGAAAATGAAGTAAACCTTCGCACTTTGCGAAGAATACCCAATCGCATGCAAGGAAAATAAAAAAAACATAATTTTTGCTTGCACATGATTGGATGATAGAAATCAGCAGTGCTTCCCCTCATTTCAGAGCTTCCCCTCGGATCAAGAGCAAGTGCATTTGCAGTGCACTTGTGGGTGCACTTGCAGTACACAGTATATTTTCCTTTAGTATAAAAAAAACAAAAAACCCCACAGCATCAAAGACTGCTGATAGCTCATATGCCAGCCTTCAGTGAGTACAGAGCTGGTGACTGTCAGTCACTGCACTTCCGGTGCCCACTGGAGCGCTGGGCTGTGGGAGGGATGAGTCGCTGAGAGGCTGTGCCAACTGCCGGCCCAGGCATCTGGGTGTATCTGACCATATCGTCTAGATCTTTTCTGAGCCTGGACCGGCTCTGTGATGTCAGCCGACAGAGTGGGCTTTATCCACTGTCAGCTGAAAACGGGTTACAGGAGTGCAGAACAAACTGCACTCCTGTGATCCCCAGTACAGCCCAAAAAGCTTTGGCTATACTTCTTTAACAAAACCAGTGCTCAAATCTTCATGCAGACTAGGATGACTGTAACTGTTATTCGTTGATGTGCAGCCCTTAGAAGATCGGGAAATATTGATACTGGTGAACAAAAGCGAAACAGGGCGCACTCTTTTCGTGCATTACCCTGGTGAAACACTAATTTATATAAAAGCATAAAAATGCATACTCACAAACCAAAGTGGGATAAAAATAGAAAAGAAAAGTCTGTAATGACGGTCCAAAGTGACAGTAGACCCTTGGTGAGGTAGCTAACACGTTTCAGATGTACTTCCTTCTTCAGAGCTCTAAAGAAGGGAGTACGTCTCCCGAAACACGTTAGCCTACCTCTCCAAGGGTCTACCATCACTTTGGACCCTCATTACGGACTCTTCTCTGTTTTTATCCCCCTTTGGTTTGTGAGTGTGCATTTTTATGCTTTTTAAATAAATTTGTGTTTCACCACAGTAATGCATGAAGAGAGTGCACCCTGTTTTGCTTTTGTTCACATTTATGTTTATGTGCATGAGAGGGGTTCAAACACATATTCCACGTGAGCTCATGCAGGAGCAATAAAGCATTAATAACACAAATGGATACATTTACAACAGATTTTCACATCATTTTGATCAGTAACAATAGCAATGCATGGCAGTAGAAGGTTAATCCAAGGTTGCTATAACAGCTACTTGCATTTGGCTTTGATGTAACTTACTGAGCAAATAGTGGACAGTAACCCATAATTAGTTTGGTCTTTCTAGCTGTCAGAATTGACAATGGAAAGGAAAAGACATGCCTCTGATCACACAGAGATCGGAGAAGTGATTTTTTTTTTTTTTTTCTACCCAGGCCAAGATACACAGACATCATACGAACTGGCTAGAATGGAGTAAAAATAAACACATAAATGGTATGCACATCACATATTACACAGAATAATATAATAAATGAGATAAATGTACTAAGAGTCATGGAACGTCTGTGCTCTGCACTTGTGGGTGTGTGACACTAGACTTTTGCAGCATATTAGTGTGATGCAGCAACCAGAGTATGTTTCAGTAAAAAAATATGCTATAAGTGCCAGAAGTAACATCAATTCTCTTTATTTCTGGTATTTCCCTTCTTTTTTTATAGCATGACACAGCTTGACTTTAAAAGCATACCTAAAGCCCAAAACAAAACCCTAATCTAACATTACAGCCTGCCAAGCCTTATAGAACATTCTTAAGTGTCTTAAAGATTATCCACTATCAGGATATTAGAAGCTGAAGGGTGATTAAACATACATACTGTACATCTATCCAAGGACTAATTGCAGCTCTGTTTACTCCCAAAATAGTGTAGTAGGTGATTCATTAAAACCAAACTTTAAGGGATATTTCACACCAACCTCTCTTTTTGTCCAGTTTACCATTATTATTGAAAGTAAAAGAAATCCCAAATGTTGGGTAGTCCCCTGAAAAGTAATAGAGGGTGAAAACTTCCAAAGGGGACACTAGTTCTGGTGACCTGGAGGTCCCCAAGAAATTCCCTTCATTGCAGGGATTTCCTCTCACTTCCTGTTTGGCTATGGGACAGGAAATGAAGGGAAATCTCTCCAATGGGACACCGAGGGGGAAAATAAAATCTGACAGATGTTATAACCTTCCCTTGCTCTATCCAAAAAAAAGTTTTGCGTATAGTTCTACTTTAACAGCCTCCTGCCCGCCATAGAATAAAATGATGGAAGGGCTGTGGTTCTCTTGTTCTGGGAGGATGTTATATGATGTCCTCCCACTCTAACTGCGTGTGCGTGCCAGCACAGCGATCGGGACACGGAGGATCACCGATCAGCGGAAAGAGACGATGAGTTCGGCTTTGTCATGTGATCAGCTGTGTCCAATCACAGCTGATCTCATGTAAATAAGGATATGCCAGTTATCAGCATTTCTCTCCTCACGAGCTGTCACACTGAGGGGACATCTACACTGAGGGGACATCTACACTGATCATAAGGGCACTGATGATCAGTGCCCTGATGACCAGTGTAGCCCCATCAGTGCCACCCTTCAGTGCCCATCAATGCCACATATCAGTGCCTTCCAGTGCACATCAATGCCACATATCAGTGCCCATCTGAGCTGCCTTTCAGTGCCACCTATCAGTGCCAGTCAGTGCTGCCTATCAGTGCCCGTCAGTGCCGCCTAACAGTTCCAGTCAGTGGCTATCAGTGCCAGTCAGTGCTACCTATCAGTGTCACCTATCAGTGCCATATATGAGTACTGCCTTTCAGTTCCCATCAGTGATGTCTGTCAATGGCCACCAGTGATGCCTGTCAATGCCCATCAGTGCCTCCTCATCAGTGCACATCAGTGCAGCCTATCAGTGTCCATCACTGCAGCCTCATTAGTGCACATCAGTGAAGAAGAAAAATTACTCTATTTCAAAATTATTTAACAGAAACTAAGAAAAAAAATTTTTTTTTTTCAAAATTTTCAGTTGTTTTTAGGTGTTTATCAAGAAAAAAAACACAGTGGTGATGATTAAATACCACCAAAAGAAAGCTCTATCTGTCTCAAAAAAATTATAAAGATTTTATATGGGTACAGTGTTGCATGACCGTGCAATCGTCATTCAAAGTGCGACAGCACTGAAAGCTGAAAACTGGCCTGGGCAGGAAAGGGGTGAAACTGGCCGGTAGACAAGTGGTTAATATCCGAAGCCCCCTGAACTTCCTCATACCCTAGCAGCCTTAACCACCTCCCGCCTGCCATATAGTAATATGACGGGTGCAAGGTGTTTCTCTCATTCTGGGAGGACGTCATATGACTTCCTCCCATTCTCTCTGCGCATGCGCGGCTCAGGGAGCGCGCAGCGTGGCGATCGGCTGTGAGCTGTGTCCCTCGGACACAGCGGATCACCGATCATGGAAAGAGCCGAAGATGTTGGCTTGGTCATGTGTACAGCTGTATCCAATCACAGCTGATCACATGTAAACAGGGAAATGCTGGTTATCGGCATTTCTCTCCTCTCGAGCTGTCACGCTGACAGAGGAAAGGAGAGCCGGTAATCGGCATTCCTCTGAAGGGACATGTACACTGATCATCAGGGCACTGATGATCAGTGTGCCCCGATGATCAGTGTAGCCCCATCAGTGCCCATCAGTGCCACATATCAGTGCCTACCAGTGCACATCAATGCCACATATCAGTGCCCATCTGAGCTGCCTTTCAGTGTCACCCATCAGTGCCAGTCAGTGCCACCTATCAATGCCAATCAGTGCCACTTATCAGTGCTGCCAATCAGTGCCACCTAACAGTGCCAGTCAGTGCCACCTATCAGTGTCAGTCAGTGGCGCCTATCAGTGCCATGTATCAGTGCTGCCTTTCAGTGCCCATCAGTGCCACCTACCAGTGCCTCCTCATCAGTGCTGCCCATCAGTGCCACCTATCAGTGTCCATCAGTGCAGCCTCATTAGCGCACATCAGTGAAGGAGAAAAATCACTTATTTACAACATTTTATAACAAACTAAGAAAAAACATTTTTTTTTCAAAATTTTCAGTGGTTTTTGGTTTAAGAAAAAATAAAAAACCCAGAGGTGATTAAATACCACCAAAAGAAAACTGTCACAAAAAAATGATAAAAATTTCATATGGGTACAGTGTTGCATGACCGTGCAATTGTCATTCAAAGTGTGACAGCACTGAAAGCTGAAAATTGGCCTGGGCAGGAGGGGGGTAGAAGTGCCCGGTAGGCGAGGGGTTAAACTGTTGGCGCTGGCAAGGAAGCTGGGAAATCTGTCTCAGGCATTGCTCAAGAGTGTCAACTCTACTACCACCCCACTCCTCCATTCACTATATATAATATAGTTTTCATGAATGAAAACTGCTGTATCAATGGGGGACGGGCAGTTGAATAAGGGGACAGCTTCCTCAATTCATAGATTTCTTTTCATTCATGGAATATCTATTAATGCATGGGGGGGGGGCAGAGAGAGCAGGCATAGTTAGCACTCTTGATAAGCCTGTGGCTAGTCCCTTGGCTCTATTAACATCTGCTAATAAATGCTGTGCGGGTATGAGGAGGGGGTTCAGGGGACTTTGGATTTCAACTAAAACAGCAGCACAAGGGACACTTCTAATTGATTGCAAGTACTGACCCTTCTGCTATTAAAAAAAAATGTTTGAGTAAACTTGGGCTTTAATTCTGGTCTGTTTAGTCAAAAGAGATGTCATCTCCCTGCAGTCACCATAACCCATGCAAGCTCATTATGCCTTTCCGCAAGACATGTGCTTCATTCTTCTTAAGTTACTTGCAAGCACTGCGGCATCTGCAGTGGACTGGGTATAGGATGTACAATGAATGTTGGCACTGCCTTATGCTGTACATAAAACATTGGCTTTGGCCTTGGCAATTGCAAAGCATTTCATTATAACAATAATCCAGCAGTCCCAGCGTCTGCTTTAATAAATGCTCAGTATTTGGAGAGGGTGTAGAATATAGTGGTTGTGCTTCCTTTAAATCAATTCTTTATTTATTTTAATAAATACTGGATGTTTCGAAGGAAACTGTACAAATGCCTGTTTCTTTGGTAAGACAAATGACTCATAGAATGGAGTCTGTTTGCCATCTGCCATTTGGAGTGATTCATCTAATGTTGTCTCTTAAAGTGTACCCAGGAGATCAGCTATTCTTCACTGAGTGGCTCAATGCCTGCAGACGCCAACAGGCCTATGCAAAAAAGGTCAGACATGGCGTGTTAAAAGATAAGTTCACCTTTTGGACAAAAATAATAATTTTAAAAAGGTACAAAAATGTGCATATATTATTTTTGTCCAAAGGAGCCTGGAAAGCATTGCACCAGCGATCAGTAGATGCCACCATGCAGGTCTCCTGCAGACCTGTCAGAATATCTGCTTGCTGTACAGGATGTACAGTCAAACAGATATACTGACAGAAAGCTTCAATAAACTACCACGGCGCTCCACAGCCCCTTGGTAGTTCATTGAAAATTACAAGCCGACAGCCGCTAAGGATGTTGGGACTTGTAGTTCATTCATTCATGGAAGTTTGTGAATGAATGATATGGCCGTGTGGGCAGAGCCCTGCACGGCCGCGCTGTTTTCAAATCTGACAGAAACTTCTCCCCGCATTATCTGTCAGAGGGAGGACGGCTGCAGCTATGGGGGCATGTTTCATGTTCCACCCTAAAAACAGATGGAACATGTAACATGTTCCAAAGGTGAACTTATCCTTTAGGGAATTTAATAATTTTGTATACAAAGATGATTATTAAACTTTTGGCTCTAAGGTCTCAGGAAACTTCAGAAAAAAATAGTTTAAATCGATATTACTAGATAAAGCAAAACCAAAAAATGGAGGGATGCAAATGATTATCAAATTAAAGAATAAACAACAAACAGCTGTTGTTGCACTGTTAACCTTCAATCCAGAAATTTCCTCCCCAGTACTTTTTCTGTAGATGTCCTCAATCTGATGGCCAGCACCAATCACCCCACTGCCCTGAGCCCAGGCCATCCTCAACTCACCCTAGACTTACTGGACAGTGAAAGGAGAAGCAGAAAAATAGTAAAGCCATGTCTCTGCCATTCTGCTTTCCCCTCCTATCAGCATTCTTCTTGTCAGCACATGAACGGTTTTGTTCCTTGTGCTGCTATTTCCTCTGACACTCTAGCTCTGCTGTACAGAGATTGTGAGAGGCTGACACCAGGTCAGATTCGGGTACTCGCATAGCTTGCATTTAAACACATATTTAATGGTGCATGAATGATTACAGAGCTGTATTAATTTGTGTATATTATATTTGCCTAGAATGTAACCTTAACACCTTGTCTGCCAAGGCCAATTTTCAGCTTTCAGCACTGTCGCACTTTGAACGACAAATGCGCAGTTATGCAACACTGTACCCATGTGAAAATTTTATCATTTTTTTTGAGACAGATAGAGCTTTCTTTTGGTGGTATTTAATCACCACTGGGTTTTTTATTTTTTGATAAACGAACCAAAAACAACTGAAACTTTTGAAAAAAAAAAAGGCTGCAGTGATGGGCACTGATAGGCTGCACTGATGAGGAGGCACTGGTAGGTGGCACTGATGGGCATTGACAGGCATCACTGATGGGCATTGATAGGCATCACTGATGGGCACTGAAAGGCAGCACTCATATATGGCACTGATAGGCAGCACTGATAATCGGCACCGACGGGCACTGATAGGCTGCAGTGACGGGCACTGATAAGTGGCACCTCGTAAAACTGAACTCCAGACAGACTTAAAAGACATGCTTTAAAACAGCTCTGTAATCATTATTACATCATTAAACGTATTTCTCTAAATGCAAGTAGTGTACGTACCTGAATTTAATGAGGTATTATCCTCTTTTAATCCCTATATGGTTTAGACTGGGAGAGGAAGAAAGCATGTTGATAGGAGGAGAAAGCAGAATGACAGATATGAGCTTATCAGTATGCTGCCTCACTTTTACTGTGCACTCATAGGCTGGAAGAAGGACAAAATCTGTAGCTGTTACTTAAAAGATAAGTTCACCTTTGGGAACATGTTACATGTTCCACCCGCTTTTAGAGTGGAACATGTAACATGTTCCCTATGCTGCAGCTGCTGCCAGCTGTCCCCCCCTCATGTGACAAAAGTACAGGGAGTTCCCAATACTAGCTGTCAGTGACGGCCACGTCATTCATTCACTAGCGGCTGTCGGCTTGTAGTTCTCAATGAACTACCACGGTGCTGTGGAGGGCGGTGGTAGTTCATTGACTCTTCCTGTCAGTATATCTGCATAGCTGTGTCAATCTAAAAACAGGATGTACAGATCTACAATGACTTTAACAGGTAAAACCGCTCCCATATGTGTATTTCAGCCTAAACATCACTGCAACATTGTGCACTAATATACACTAAACTGTGGCGAAAAGTAAAAAATATTACCCCACTTTTAGGGCCATCTAGACATCTGTTGTCTACCTTTAAGCAACTTATTTTTTTTTTTTTTTTACAAAAAAGCTACCAATACACCGTACAGCCCACCAATCAGAAATCTGCAGGAAAAGATGTTATGGTTGCATGTTTCAACAGCTGCAGAAAGACTTGTGGCAACTTCTTTTTTGCATTCCCCTAACCTTACTTTCTATTGGTGGAATTACCCTTGAGAAACCAACATTAGCCCGACAAGATAAAAAAAAAAAAACTGAAAAAAGTAAAACTTTTGGTTCTGAGCTCTCTTTTTTTCTAGCCTTGCTGGTTGCTAGTGCATGTTGTATAGTTAATAAAGCCACAAAAGGTAACGATTAAGCTAGGAAGAAGGACCATGAAGGGTCCCAGTGGTGAGACCACTGAAAGATGACACATTGTCCAACGTTTGCCTATGTTTGCCACTGTATGACAGGTACATTGTAACAGTAGGCAGCACTGCAATATGTTTTTTTTTTTTTTGCAGAGATAAATACTGATTGTATGATAATCTAATCATCCTAGCCGAATCTGGCAAGAAAATACAAGAGTTATTTAAGTGGAAAATCACTGCATACTCTGTACCATTGTTCATGGGAAACTGGTTAAAGAATAATTTTTGTTCCGTGCCATGTGTGGGAGTTTATGGAATACAATTAGGAATTTAGTGGATTTATAATTGTGTATTATTTACTCAATCTGAAACCTTTTTTCCTAGTACATGCATAATTTGAAAAATACGATTTTGTTGTGCCCTGAGGGAACTAAGCTTGCATATGCCACTGTTTTTAATCTGCTTAATGACTAAATGAACTCAAAAGTTTGAAGGATGCCACTGTGGTCAGCCACTTGCTATCCTAAAAAACTCCCAAAGATCCTCCAGACGGATTCATCCCAGGAGATTGTGGCTGTGGAATATATGGAACAGGACAGGTAACAACACTGCTTGGCAAAAAAAAAAAACCTAAACTACAAATGTTACGGTTGTAGCAGGAGGTTAAATGGAGCCGGAATACTGCAAATAGGAATGGATCTTCAGAGAGTTCAAGAAGCCAATAGCTTCAGCCCATCCAGCAATGATAGGATACCTAACAGTTGAGTTGGCTTCACATCTGTGTTGTAGTAATGCCCAATTCATTTTGAATGATACCCCAATTACAAACACATCCTAATTGCAATGAACCATAATACAAGAGGGAAACTTCCTCACACTGGTGACATGGATACCAAGGAATAAACTGTGTGTACTGGAGTGCAGATTTGACTGATATGAATATTGAGGCATGTTATGAGATGATCTATTACTATGTTGCCTTGACCCTGCATTGCTTCAAAATGTCAGCTGTATTGTATTTAAAATAAAACCCAAAATCTGCGCTAAGGAAGTGAAGAACCAATAAATAGCAGCTGAACACCGTACCTTGATGCCAGGCACCTTATAAATAGTGTACAAATAAAGTTCAGCGCTTAGACAAAAATATAAAATATATGAAAATAATAATTCAAATGTTCATAAATGAAATATCAAATTAGAAAATCAAAGCAGAACAATCCTCAAATACCGTGACGAGATAGGAAAAACTTCCAAGGTTGTGACACCAACCACTTGCATGCAAGGCTCACCAGAAAAAATGTGACCCCTATTAAGAGTGGTCAAACACGCTTTTATTATATAACATCCGGAGAGATTTATTATATGGTAAAATTGCACTCACATGATAATGGACATGAATCAGCGTGTACAAACACTAAAATCGAGTCTTTCCAGCATCCAAGATGCCATCTAATGTCTAATAAATTTCATATCTGTGGATTTTACACTATGTGGAGACATCTTTTTTTACATGTCTAATGCCACGAGCTCTGGTCTCATATAACTTACTTGGAGCGGTCAAAGCCATCATAGATAGTGACCGACATAGGAGGACCACCAATCTCTCTTTTGGGGGATGATTCCATCTGCCCATCTCTCCGGATGTTATATAATAAAAGGGTGATTGACCACTCCAAATAGGGGGTCACATTTTTTTCCTATCTCATCACGGCATTTGGGGACTGTTCTGCTTTGATTTTATTATTTGATATTTCATTTATGAACATTTGAATTATTATTTTCATATATTTTATATTTTTGACTAAGAGCTGCACTTTATTTGTACACTAGTATTGTATTTAGGTGACCCTTCACAAATAAATCATGAAGGAATTGTAATCTTTAATCAAATGTTGGTGACTATTCATCCCTTTATTATTCTCACTGCGAACAAGGATACCAAGAAATGAACTGTGTGTGCTGGAGTGCTGATTTAACTGGTGCGGTGAATATTGGGTAGTGAGCTTTGTGTGAATATTGGCTAGTGTGCAGAGTAGACCCAATGGTCACGTGGATATCAGTAAATTCTACTTTTTTCATTTCAGTTTTATTCAGTTGTATTCTTTATGGTAAGTGATTATTTGGAGGCAAGTAAAAGTTTTCCACAAAACCGCTTGTAAAAATAAAATTCCAATCCTTATAAATGTGGCAAATCTCAATTTCTCATTATAAATAGATCGAGAATCAAAAAGCATGGAAAACGAGAATTTGTGGCTACTGTAATGAAGTTGGATAGGTTTTACCAGTCAATATTTGGCAAGCAATAGGCAAAATAAGAGTAAAGATTAATTGATCCTAAGAATACATCAGTTATCCCTTAAATATATAGGATACCAGATCAATAGCATTGACCCTTAGGGAACAAATTGAGGCTGAATGATGTATTGATATTCTATCCAACTAATAACTTTGCTATCTTTACAACTTCTACTTACCGAGGGTGGGATCGTATTCTCCAATAAACCGTTTAGTGATAAATCTGACAGTCATTGCTGTGTCAGGAAAGAAAACGATAATGAGTTATTATTGCATTGCAGTTCTTAAATTCAGTTCACACCAGTATTAATTATCATATGCTTTAATTAGGTAAAAATAAATTTAAAAATTTCATAACTACATTATAAAAAGTGCACAGCCCCAGAGTTTGCAGTGGACCTCATTTCAACATGTTTTAATGGAAGATCGGATGAAGAACTATTTGATAGTAATGGCTGATTAGCTGATTTGGGTAAGAGCATGTGTCTACAGGCTTTGGGCTTCTTTTCATGTGGAAATACAGCTGCCTTTAACATCAGTTTGAGACTTTTCTAAATCATTAAAAATTCATGTGCACTTGATCTCTTTCTGAACTGCTTCTAACTCCCTGTACCTGGTAGAAAGCTTTCCTGTTCATTTTAACAGCACAAGAGCCATACCTGTGCACTGAAGCTGAGCTTTTCAGGTGAAGAATGGAGGTGAGCAGTGCCCAGAATGGTGGAGGGCAGAGAAGAGAGAGACCACACTGTATATGAGGTTTGTCTTGGGTTTTATTCCATGAAAGAGACTTTTGCACAAAAATACACCTGTTCTTCAGGGATAACATTATGTGAGAAAAGTCAGGTAAGCGTCTTTGTACAGCATTTAAATTGTGCTTAGGAATATGTCAATGTTCCTTAACAAACAGGGAGGTCACAGCCATTGAGTAAAATCTCACCAAAGCCTGCAACCATACTCAGAGTCCCAAAACACACTCTGACCTCCTTCTTCAGGAATATGGAACGGCATGTGGAAAAACAGTTTTATGTACTTGTAACTTCAGGGAGCACAGCTACCATTGACAACCTACTTGCCAAAACCTGCAAAACCTCCAGGGTATCCATAATACACCTCTGTATTGGTCCTGGTCCAACTATACTCACAGATGAACAGTGCCCATCTCCGAAGATTGCATTGTCTTGAGCATTACACTCTGTCCATTTCTCTTTCAGACACTGAACTACTTTCCTACAAGGAACCGAGATGAACAATGAAACCTGCAAAACCTCCAGGGTATCCATAATACACCTCTGTATTGGTCATGGTACACCTATACTCACAGATGAACAGTGCCCATCTCCGAAGATTGCATTGTCTTGAGCATTACACTCTGTCCATTTCTCTTTCAGACACAGAACTAGTTTCCTACAAGGAACCAGCATGAACAATGAAACAGACATTTCTTTTTTTGTTAAACCAAACTCTTCTCTCATGTTGGTCACTGATATTGGAAGTCAAAACCCTTTATAATCACTACCTCAGGTATGAAAATAAATTCACCATCCACGGAAAATTTTCCACGCTTTTTTGGAAGTAGCACTTTGTGGCATTTTGATAAGGCTCAATAAAATGGAATAACTAATCAGCAGAGAAAGAGAAGCCAGTTCCAAATCCCCAGTTTTCCACCATATAAATCCACAAATCTTTTTTTCTTGTCCAGCCCTGATGATAATACAGCCATGGATGGTAGAGTAAATGCCTATTTAAAGGGGTCTGCCAATACTTACATAAAAGTGGCCACCCGCCCAAGTCTATAACTGGCTTATGAAGCAAGGACACATAAACAGGCATCACATAGTGAATAAAGGGGAGAGAACAATGTTCTTGGACAACTTGCCAGCCAGCTTGCTAACAACCGAATTAACCTGTCTAACAGTATGCGTTTATAACAGGGGTTTAGTTAGCACACATTTGCAAATACATACGTAAGCCACAGAGCCACGACACGGCACCCTGGTAATCTGTGGTCCTAACTCTAAAATTTGTGAGTCCCCATAGTAGAGGCACATGCATTTAATGGATAGATCATGGGCAGGTGGACCTGAGGGAGCCACCCCTCTTAAAGGCAAAGGAGTGCACTGGACCCCAGCATGTAGCACAATGGCAACCAGGGCCCTAGTGCAGCCACGTAACAAAAACTCAAACATGCATAAAAGTGGCCACCCGCCCAAGTCTATAACTGGCTTATGAAGCAAGGACACATAAACAGGCATCACATAGTGAATAAAGGGGAGAGAACAATGTTCTTGGACAACTTGCCAGCCAGCTTGCTAACAACCGAATCAACCTGTCTAACAGTATGCGTTTATAACAGGGGTTTAGTTAGCACACATTTGCAAATACATACATAAGCCACAGAGCCACGACACGGCACCCAATACTTACCCTAAAAATATATTAGTGCACAAAAGTCATATGGATAAAAATCAAAAGTCAGAAGAGGCCAGCGGATTTCTTAACTTTTATTTCCAAAAACATTATCTCTAAACATGATCAAAAGCAATGACTATAAACTATGACAGGTTACGATGTGATGCAAATGATTAATAAAGAGTAAGCTGAAACAGCTGCTCAATAATAGATTAGGGCTAGTTAGTCTGCCAGCATGCACTACTATAGCGCCCAAGTGTTTGGGAACCAACAGTGTTCATGTATACATGCAAATATATGTTCCCAGGGACCCCTAAGGCTCCCCTGCATTATCAACAACCTCTTAGCAATTACGTATATGTATTTTCTCCTGCACTCTTGGTTTAGTGTCTAGTTTATAGTTATAGAAAGAGTGAGGTGTAAAACAATCTAAGGATTTTTTTTCTTTTGCATTTTTAGGGGGTATTTTTTATAGTTTTGTTTTTATTTAGTGTTCTTTTTATTTGTGTTTTTCACCCTTTTGTGTGTTTAGTGAATTGTGCGCTGTTTGTTTTATTTTCTTTTTCTTTATCTGTACTAGAACAGGCCTGGTATAGTTTATACTTCAATATTTTTATTGAAAAATTGGTATACAGTAGAATACAAAAATATAGCAGCAATTGCCACCTACATGGTGAAATGGAGTGCACATTCGTATTCATAGAACAGTTATATGAAAGAAATAGATTATTAGACATTGGTGATATGTAAAAAGAACACCGTCTCCACCACGTAGCAAACTGCCCATTAATCAATTAACCCAGATAATGCAACAGAAATGCACCAAAAGTATACAAACAATTCAAGAGAAAATAAAAAGGAAATAAGAAGAAAGAAAACAAAACAAAATGACAAAAGAAAAAAAAAAAAGGGGGGGGAGGGGAATACCAAAGGGGGAGAGGAGATAGGGAGGGTCAGCTGCAGTACTTTTAAGATATAGAAATATAACTGATCCACGGTTGCCACGTCACCTCAAATCTACAGACATCATTATTGACAATGCTTGTAAGTTTATCTTTTATCATTATCCAATTAAGTTTTTGTTTAACCCCGTCTAGCGGGATCAGTGATTGTCTCCAACTTCTAGCTATGGTAATGTGTGCCGCAAGTAAGAGGTATAAAGTTAATTTAGTTGATTTTTTTAGGAACGTCAGCGAGTAGCAAATGAAATAACGAAACTTCCGGAGATCTACGAATATTAATTCCTGTTACCGAATAGATAAAATTAAACATTCGGATCCAGAACCTGTTCACTACCGGGCATTTCCACCAGATATGCAACATAGATCCCTCTTGTCTACAGTGTCGGAAGCAACTAGGTAATACAGAAGGGTACATTTTAGCAAGGTGCATAGGAACCAGATACCAGCGAAGTAGCGTTTTATAGTTGGATTCGATAAGAACCGTATTGATCGAAATCTTTGATAAAGTATGTGCCGCCTGCCGCAAGTATCCAAGTCCAATGAACGATTCAAATCCCCCTCCCATTGAGTCATATAAGATAATTTCGTGAGTGGATCAACAAGGGAAGCATAAAGAATGGACAAACGACCCCTCATCATTCCAGTTGCCCCACAGGAGACCTCTAAGGGAGTGAGTGAGCAAGGTTCTGAAAGTAATTTGAGTTTGCTAGTGATAAAAGAGGTAAGTTGGTAGTATCGAAACAATTCCCCGGGAGGCATCTGATACTTTATCAAAAAGCACTGAAGTGAACGAGGACAAAGCCTATTCAGGTAGTGTCCGATACATAGCAAGCCCTTACTCATCCACCATTGGAACACCGACGGCGATAAGCCAGGAATAAACTCAGAATTTCAAAATACCGGAGCCAGAGGGGTATGCGGGGAGAAGAATGGTTTGCGAGCTCGCCATCTATCCCAAACTGTCAGCGAATAGGACAACATAGGACACAGAATAGGAGGACGCAAACGACTGGAAACCCACATGAGAGCACCAATAGCATAGGGACGACAAGATAAGGCCTCAATCCCAACCCACTGGGGGACGTACCCCCTGGCCGTAGTGCAAGATAACTGTGCTATTTGAGCCGCCTGAAAATAGGCTAAGAGATTAGGAAGTCCCAAACCGCCATGCTCCTTTAAGGATAACAAGGTAGACCTGTTAACCCTAGGACGTTTTCCCCTCCAGATAAATCTGGAGACTGCTGCTTGTAATAATAGCAATTCCCTCTTGGGAACCATGATCGGTAATGTCCTAAAATAATACAATAGTCTCAGTAGAAAGGTCATTTTAATAGAATTAATTCTACCAAACAAGGAGAGTGAGAGATCCTGCCACTCTAGTAAGATTAGAGGAATTAAGCGTTAGACCAGAGGCCTCAGGTGGATGAAACAGGTGGAGGAGACCAGGTAAAGAAGCTCGAGGGTTAGATATATACATAAGGACATCATCAGCAAATAGGATGCATTTATGGTCCCGCTGACAGCAGTGGATGCCCAAGATGGCGGGATCAGAGCGGATAGCAATAGCAAGTGGTTCCATAGCCAAGGCAAATAGTAGTGGAGAAAATAGGACAGCCCTGTCTAGTTCCTCGCTCTATCGAAAGGGAGGCTGATTTATGTCCGCGAATAGAAACTTGAGCCGACGGATTAGAATATAGGGCCTGCAATCAATGTCGTGAAATAAGGACCAAACCCAAACTTGTCCAACATCCTAAATAAATAGTCCCAAGATAGATTGTCAAACGCTTTATGAATATCCAATGATAATAATAGGATTTCCCTCTGTGAGGATTGGTCCCAATTGGATTGTACAGCTGACAACAGGGCTAAAG